TGGTGCCGATGGCACCGTGGGATGTGATGGCTGAAATTCAGAAGAGGAAAAGCTCTGATGAGGGATTCCTGCAAACTGTTGATGTTCGTCTGCTCTTACATGGAAATCAGTATTCCACGGAACGTTGTTTCGATTACCGCAAGGTCTTTGTTTCTGTTGCTTTGTCGCGTTGGATGCATCGTCATTTACAGCTGTGACGTCAACGGTGTTAATTTTTCGTCGCCCATCGCAACTTCTTCGAAATCGGTTCTTCCACTGGCGCTCTTCTTCGTCGTCGCTAAAGTAGCGGATGTGCTCAGGCGGCTCGTTGTTGTTCTCCCAACTTGCATCAGAGCCTTTGACGGTTTTTAGCTCGTCCACAAACACCTTTTTCGTCAATTCGTTCGACTGAGGAATGAAAAACAAACAGGTCCCCACTGCAAGATGTAAATTTTCGATTTCCTGCTTATGGTTATACCGCATCGAGTAAAGCGGACAAGCAACTGGTCCAAGGGTTTCGAAAATCTGAAATGTGTAAATCCTTTAAGCTTGCTGTTTCCCACCTAACAAGATCCTCTAAAAAGATGATCTATCTGTAAACAGGTTAGCAGGAAAGGAAAGTGTGTAATCGTTCGAATATCGGGTCTTCCGTAGCTTTCAAAACCGACAGGCTCACGGGAACAATTTCTGGCGTTCTTCTTCCATAAGGTTAATGATGGGTTTATGAACTGCATTTTAGTCTCATCAACCAGGAGTGCCTTATCTTAAACGCATAGTCGACAGAAGCTAAGTGCAAGCAAGCACAGTGAATGACTAAAACGGATACGACTAACATGAAATTCTGTGCTTTTATGCCCATCATCTATGAACCTTCTTCGCACCAAACCCGCTTAGCGGGCTGCTATATCAGTGAGAAAGCGAAACACGGTAAAAATCGACAGTGCAGTGAAATACTTCGTGAATTCGATCAGACCGCCACTGCATGAGAAGAGATAATGGCACTAAGCCGAAACAGCATACATATTTAAACATGAAGCAAAAAGTCTGTCTGGTAATAAAGTGTCGATGTCGATAAGGTAACAATCCATCTATCGGCAGATCAGCTGCTTGAGCCGAGGTTAAATAAAAGTATTCATGATGTACTTTGGTACGACTGCCAGCCCACAAACAAAATACTCCATTTACGGGTGAAAATGAACACTGACACAGAGATTAAACAGCAACATGGCGGCGATCGTTGAGAGATTATGACAGTCAAACGGCTCCATCGACCGTAAGAGAAAACTGCTGTATATGTTGAACAGATCTGGAATCACTTGAACTCGCATGCTTGGTTTGTTTTTGTTGGAATGAAGACGATATTTTTTCAGGGGGCACTTAACGTAAATCCTGCAAAACTGGACTGGGATGTCGATGTTTCGATTTAATTAGGCTATGCCTGCACTATGCGAAATACCATAAGCTGTACAATCTGTCAAACAATACTTCGTGAAAAGCCATAGCTGATTTCGTAATTGGGCTATTTCTATGACCGGGGTGGGCCGATCGGTAGAATGCCAGTCTTGTAACCAAGAGATTCAGAGTTGGAGGCCATGTCGGGTTACTTCCATTTTTTCTTTTCAAGGCTTATAAATGAGTACTACCCAGTGGGAAGGAAAGAGGAGGTTACACACCACGCTGACCACAAGGCGACTTTGCCTTTAAGACAAGGCATTATTGGCTGCTGGTATGGAAATCGAGATCCGAACACCACCACAAACTTCCGGGAACGAAGGAGATAAGAAATAGCCATATCATAAAAATGTAAAGAAGACCGACATTTCAAAGGTTACAAACTTTTGATGTCTTTCTTTCGTAGTAGGGGATAATGTTATTAAAAACTACGTCATACCTGGCCAACAGCTGTTTTGTCAGCAGTAAACAGAACAGTATCTGCATCGAGCGGACAAGCGCCGCTGTAACTTTCGACAATCACTGAAACAAAAAGAGTTACAGTGAGACGATGAAGCAAAAAGAACGAGAAATTTGAAAACTATACCTAAGCAGTCAACTGTACACTTGACTTTACCAGCGGGTAGCATCTGGACGTCCTCCGGGACTGAAATCGATAACTTTTCTATCGGAGGTAGGTCCTTCAACAAACGTAATATTTAAAACAGTGGACACAAAACGAAGCTTATAATATGAACCTTGATATCGAGTTCTCCTCTGGTCTTAGGAGGTTCTGAGTCCTCTTCAAACCTCACTTCATTCGTTTTTTCTAGTATGCTAAAGAATTCAACATTCAAAAATGTTTAATAAGTGACAAACAAAATGTCAGTACCGACAAAAGAAACTGTCAGAATCCTCTGAGTCTTCTTTCGTAGCGGAATTCGAAGATAGAGAAGACGAGTCAGAATCGCTGTCGTCATAATCACCGTCCGAAAGTATAGCCCGATAGCCATGTCGATCGAAGAACATGCCGCGCAACACAACCATCGTCACCAACTCGTCGACAACGTTTTTCACTATCACGTCGTCCGCAGAGACCTCCTGTTCCTTTGTTACAGTCTGTAACACTGGCGTTACCTGTCGTTGAATGGAAGGATGTGGCTTTAGAAAACTGTAGCATTCCTTCTCCTGTTGAAACATTGTAGCGCATTCCTGAAAACACTGACGATGTTTGCAGTTTTCAAGAAGCAGTAGAAGCAAAAATCGAACCATGGAGAGCAGTCCTTGAGGAAAACAACCTTCGGCTCAGCAAAGGCAAATGTGAATAATTAGCGCACTACTTTAGTGGGGTGAAAACAGTTAAAGTCAACAAATCAGTGAAAATAGCGGAGATTCGTGCTACCTCAGTAGTTGAATCATCAGTTGAAGTACCTTGTGTTCATGTTGCAAAACAATGGGGAAATTGACGGTGAATTAAAAAACTGGTTTTAAAAGAGTAATCAAACGGAAAGAGGTGGACGGTGTACTGTGCAATGAGAAAATTTCCATCAAACTAAACGTGAACGCATACAGAACGATGGTAAGAGCGATGACTTCTGTACGTGCGGAATGTTGGCATCCATGAAGAGAGACGAGCAACAACTAAAGCGGGTAGAAATGCAAATGAACAGATGGATGCGTGGTGCCAGCAGAAAAGACCACGTCCAGAATTTCTATTTAAGAGACACTTTAAGGGTAGCACTAATTTCAGAAAACCTCATTGAAACAGGCTCCGTTGGTTCAGCCAAGTGAAAAGAAGATACAATCGGTTGGAAATGCGGTCCACGAAGCACTGGTACTGCGAGGTAAGAAAACAGGAGGACGGTCAAAAATGGCGACGTCATGTTGTAAAGACATGAAACTGGCTGAGAGCTGACTCAAAGAGCGGACCGATGTTATAGGGAACATGCTCCGGAAAAGAAGTTTAATTATATACGATCTGATTAAGTGTTAAATATATTACTGAATTATAAAATTCGTCTTTTTGTCCCCCTGCCACAATCGTCATATGGAAATAAGTGCGTGGCCAGTTTCTGAAAACTGTTCCAAACGGGAATGGAATTTAAGTTGTGAATTTTATATCGATTTCGACCCCGAGGCAGAAGAAAATTCATCAAATTCAATAGCTGGAGAGCACGAAATGATTTAAGAGTAAGCCAGTGTTTTAGGAAGGATGCCATTCAGCATTTTGGTCATCATCAAAAACGATCGAAAGACACAAATACAACATTACATGAGTTATTCGGACCCGGCGGTAAGTATGTAAGAAAACAGTAGACAAATTAAATCTTGATAAAATAACATTCATACCTTAAACTCAAGCAATGCTCCAACTACAGTCGCACTTCGCTGTTTTGACTACTGTTCTAATCTGAGAAAAGCACAGGATCAAAATGGTATCGACAACAGCACCACACCGTAAATATCATTCAGTTTGATGTAATAATCAATATTGTGTAAATTAATAGTCAATTTAAACCTATTTTAAAGTAAATGAATCACACAAACGACATGAACTGATGCATCCATTAACTACCTTCAGTGAGTATCTCGAACAAAGACACGGACGACTACTCAACTGAATAAAATAGAGTAAAACTTGGGTGAGCAACCGAACTTACGTAACCAAATGAATGGAATCCAACCTAGGACCCGAACCAGTGAACAGTACAGATTATCATTCATAAAAGTGCAGGACCAACAAGATCACCAAGGAATGGTGCTGTTAAGCAAAAGTAAAAGAAACAGAAGCAGAATAAAACAATAAACGCGTGTAAATAACAAAACTAGCCAACGTAATAAACGCCAATCACATAAGCATATGAGAGCCAAAATTGTTTCAGCGTTCCTTGGGAAAGTAATAATTCTTATGTCAGTATTTCGAAGGAGGCATACTATAACATTCTTAACTAAACTTTTTATACATATTAGATCGCGCTGAATACAGTAAACGACATTAATAAAATATATCAACTGGCAAATAGAAAATTCAAAATGCAGAGCAATAAAATACAGTAAACCTTCGATTAGCAGGTACTGAATGTGGATGGTAACATCAGATACTACTACTGGCTTAAGTGCCAGGTGGCTGTCTGTCTCTCTGTCATCTGGTGATGAAATGTGCTATAGCTTTTCAGATGTTCCTCATAGGGTCTTCACGTATTGCTGTTAGCGTTTATTTGGTATAATAAAGACCAAATGGCATGTTCATAACATGTTTCAACCTGTATTTTCGTGGTTTTCGTTGCCTTCTTTAGCACATTTTTGATTAGTAGCACTGAAACTTTTAGATATGGTGTCAGCTTTCAGCCACTTCAGTAAGCACAGTTAACATTTGAGAGTCAAGGCGGAATCTGCCTACTACCTTAACGATCTTCTGTGCTATTATTTTCTTCATGTGTTACTTCGTCTGTCACCTCAGTCGGTTTTCTGTCCTTAAAAGCCTAGGAAAATTGTTTTGTTATTGCCATCAAGGGGTACCAGAGCTTAATCAGATGAGTAAATCAGATTTATGATATATAACCTTTAGAAATGGCATCTCAGATGGATATTGAGCAAAGTTCGCCGCTACGATAATGATCGTGTTCATCATCATCCTACTATAGAGAATGTGTTGATGACAATGAATCTGTCGATTTTTTCGGATCATTCCATTTGCTCAGAACAATCTGGTAGTGGGAAGAAGGTGGAACTTATTCTAGGGAATGATGAACAACAGTCATAAAATAAATTATATGAAATGTGAGGAATCGGATAAAATATTAGTCTGAAAGAAGCGAAGTTCCATATTCTCTGCTCTCATGATTCGTCAGTGATGGTTTGAGGTAATTTGCGTATTTTTATGAAGTACTGAATTGATGTTTTGCTTGTTTTAAGGAGGTTAGCCAAAACGTACTCGAATGGCACCAAAACTTCCACGCTCCTTCATTGATTGGCGAAAGTTTGCTGCCAACTGTATCGAAAAGGACTTACGTGAGTTTTGTTTTAAAAATAGAATGGTAGAAAACGGCGAACAGGTAAGGAATTCCCTTTTATTTATTTCTGAAAAGAGTACAGATCACAGTAAAAATAATTTATGTAAATTATAAATTTATAATTTCATAAAATGTACCACCAAAGGATTTATTTATGCAAATCGTAATACCGTGTCCCATTAAGTGATGGATTCATGGATTAACGACGATGACTAGAACAAATCAGTTGTTGCTGTAGACTACCTCCATTGCAACAGAAATCTACCACCCCTTTTGTCTTGAAAAGGCTTGTGAGATTCTGTCTAGAGTGTCGACAGATCTCATCTATTGCGAGGCTTGTAAATTAATCGTTTCGTG